GCCGGGGCCGCCCCCCCGCCGGCTTCCCCCGAGCCTTTCAATGCCGCGGGGGGGCTCCGGCGGGGGGGCAGCCCATGCGCGCCTGGGATGCCCCCCCGCCGGCTTCCCCCGAGGCTTTCAAAGCCACGGAGGGGCTCCGGCGGCGGGGCATCCGGCGTACAAGACGACCCCCAATTTTTGGGGGATGTTTTTTAACATCAGAGGTCGTCTTGTACGCCGGAATATACGGTATGTGTCTTTGCATAAAATAACCATATCAAGCTCAGTTGTAAGGTATCTCTTCGTCCAGTGTTTTAGATTCACCTTTAAAAGCTTTTTTTGTGATAATAAACTTTTAATTCTAGTTGTTTAATAGACAGCATATCTAATCCGGCAATCGTCCCATGTTCATATTTATAACAACGCACCAGTTATTAGAATAATTTAATAATGGGAACATGTTAGCAGACAAAATTTCAAGACTTTAAAATAAGGCTATAAGGGACGTAGTAAATAACACCCCCAAATCATTATTACATAATATTAATTGCGAAGTACATACACTTATAATTTTGAATAACCAATAGCCTTTAGCGAATTCATTTATTGTGTGTTACCATGTTTTAAAAGAACCCCTTTATAAAAATGAAGCCAAGATTTGAAAGTAGTGCAAATAAGAGAAAGCAAAAGCAACAGAGTGAAGCAGCAGTTAAGAGTTTAAAGCCAATAACATCATTTCTGGTAGAAAAGATGCCTCAGCCATTAGACAGTGACCATGCTGACAGTGACACTTCCAGTTCTGATGATGAAAACTTTGTACCCACAAATGACATTTCAATGTCACTGCCTCACAATGAGGAGGTCGTTAATCAAAGACACAGAAATTACCAACAGCGGAATCTACACTCGACTTAGAGACTATGAGGGCAGAAAATGAGAACATTGGAGATGCTGCGCAGCAAGAGCAAGAACTCGGACTAGCACAGGACACAGTGTAATAACAGTGGCGTCAGAACCTGATATTGGACTTCTTGATAAGAACAATGTTGCTCAAATGCACTCATTTCTCAAGGTTAGTTGTTTTCAGATTCCAAATACCATACGGAAAGATGCTGAAAATCATGTTTTTCCCACTCGTTTACGGACAAAAACTCTTCCAAATGGAGAGATCTACACAAGAGACTGGCTCTGCTAGAGCATGGAAAAGCAGGCTCTCTACTGTGTACCCTGTTTCATTTTTAGCAGTAATACTTCAAATGTATCAGTACCGTCAAATCCAGCTGATTGGAGCATCAGTAGAGGTTGGAGGAAGTTGAAAGACCGAATACCTGCATATGAAACTTCAGTATCGTATAAAGATAACTGTGTTACATGTGAATCAGCTAGTAGAGCAGCACTAACTGACAGTTCAATTGAAAACTTACTCCTGAGTGAAATAAACACAGAAACTGATAACTGGAAAGTATTCCTGGAGCGCATATTGAATGTCATTCTTTTTTTTCCTGAATGGGGATTGGCTTTGCTTTGGTTCCAGTGTTTTGCTTGCAGTGGAAACTCCCAATTAAAAGTTACATTTTTAGTATACATGATAATGGTACAATGACTTAATTGTTAATAAATAAATGTGTCGCAAGTGTTCATTTTCATATATTCTTTTGGTTTTAGTATGACCCTATGGATGAGAAGTTAGAT